TGTGTTACTTCCCGGGCACATAACGTTGCTTCGCTAGGCCTGCAGCCCCAGAGAGGGGCGTGCAGTGCACTACGAGCTCCGGTTTCTCTGATCCATATATGCCCTCCCAGAGAGAGGTCAGGCGGAGGGATCTGGTGAGTGATATGTGTGTGCTTCGGCCGAACGCGTGTTAGCATCTCTGAGCTACAGGGCTAACACGGGGTTTCCCACTCCAGGGGCTCGCCCCCCCCTCCATGAGGCAAGAGCCAGGGGGGGGCACAGCAGCCGAGCCACGTGTGGTGAGCAGAGCTACAAGGCTAACACGGGGTTTCCCACTCCAGGGGCTCGCCCCCCCCTCCATGAGGCAAGAGCCAGGGGGGGGGGCACAGCAGCCGAGTCACGTGTGGTGAGCAGTCCCGTACTTATGACGTCGGGCCTGCAGAACACGTGACCGCCCCCGGCGCTCACAGTGTGACGCAGGGGGCCCCCCGGCCCTTTCGGCCACCCCCCCTCCCTGCTAGGAACACCAGGAGAGGGCGGGGCCGTGACGTCTCGTGTTTCAGCTCCCGTTCCGCCCCTCACAGACTTCTACAGCATCTGGAGGGAGCTGGGTTGGATGACAGTATATGGCTGGAGATTACATTGCGCAGGGGTTCCGCACTGCAATTTTTCCGAAAGCCACCACCTTTCCGAGGCGTACGGGCAGTACGCTCTCAGGTACGGGGATCAATAGAGGCACTGCAAGCGGAGGTCTCCTCTCTGCTGAGTCGAGGCGCAGCAGTGGAGGTAGACCCGCAGGACGCCACCAGAGGGCTGTACTCCCCTTACTTCTTAGTGCCAAAGAAGTCAGGCGGGGTGCGTCCCATTCTGGATCTGCGCGTGTTGAACGAGTGCTTTTCCAAACGGAAGTTTCGGATGCTGCCCACAAAGCAGCTACTCGAGTGTGTCAGGGAGGGAGACTGGATGTCCTCCATAGACCCGACAGATGCGTACTTCCACATGCCCATAGTGCCAGAACACAGGAGGTTTCTGCGCTTCGCAGTGGGAGAGAGGAATTACGAGTACTTATGCACTCGCGCCTCGGACTTTTCCAATGCGTGGAAGCGGCACTGGAGCCGCTCAGACGCGCAGAGGTAAGAATTTAACCTGCTTAGACGACTGGTTAATTCTGGCATCATCCAGGGAAGTGTCACACGCACTGGGTCCTGTCCCACATACAGCGCCTGGGCTCTGTGGTGAACAGGGAGAAAATTAATAGTTACCTATTGTAACTTAAGTTCTACGAATAGGTGCACGTGTTATCCCACTAGCGAAGTCCGCTAAGGGACGTAGCACCATGACGTAGAAGCAGGCTGCAACCGGCTCAGCGCATGATCTATCTCGGCCTGCAGCTAGACTCTGTGACATTCCGTGCTGCATTGTCCGTGGACAGACGGATGAGTATTACCCGTCTGGCCCGGGAGGTTCTGGCGGGCCCCAGAGTCCCCGCTCGGCGCCTCAGGTCCCTGCTGGGAATGATGGCGGCGGCTCATGCTGTGGTGCGGCTAGGCCTGCTCCACATGAAAAATTCGCAGAGGTGGTTCTCGCGCCTCAGGCTTCACCCCTCCCGGGACGGGGGGAGGCTGTTCTGGGTTCCCCAAGTGGCAGCATCGGACATCAGGTTCTGGCTCACTCCGGGTCTATTGCGGGACGGAGTGACTCTGGCCTGCGCCGTGTCTCACGTCGAGGTGTTCACGGACGCGTCGCTCGAAGGATGGGGCGGGGTCCTCGGCCAGAGCTCTGTAGGAGGCTGCTGGTCGGACTCAGCCCGTCACTTCAACCTGCTGGAGATGGAGGCAGTGCACAGAGTACTGCTGCACTTTGCCCCTCAGCTGCAGGGGAGACACGTGATGGTGCGCTCAGACAACACCACAGTGGTCTCCTATCTGAACAGGCAGGGGGGCACCAGGTCCCCCGCTCTCCATCGCATGGCGACGGTGACGCTGCTGTGGGCGGCGCTTCACCTCCTGTCTCTCAGGGCGCGCCATGTCCCGGGAGTCCGGAACGTGGGAGCCGACAGGATGTCCAGGGGGGGGCCCACTCCAGGACGAGTGGGGCTTGGCCCCACGGGTAGCTGCGGAGATCTGGCGAAGGTTCGGCCGTCCAGTGGTCGACCTTTTCGCCAGTGCAGAGAACGTACAGTGCCCGTCCTGGTTCGCCTTAAGGGCCGCGGACGAGCCGCCTTTAGGCGTGGACAATCTGGCTCATTACCCATGGCCAGGCGATCTGTTGTACGCTTTCCCACCAGTGCGTCTCCTGCCGGTCCTGCTGCGGAGGATCGAACAGGAGAGGAGATCGGTGATCCTGGTGGCTCCGGACAGTCCGCATGCCCGGTGGTTCCCCTTCCTGAGGGGCATGGCGGTGATGGAGCCCTGGGCCCTCCCGGACGAGCCGGGGGCTCTAGTCCAGGGGGCAGGAGCCCTGTTTCACGCCCGATAATCGGCCGCAGGCTCTGGGCTTGGAGGCTGAGAGGCGGAGCCTCGTAGACCTGGGTCTTCCCCCTGCGGTGGTGGAGACCATTCAGGGAGCGAGGGCGCCGTCCACTGTGAGGGCCTACGCCACGAGGTGGAGGCTATTCAGTGTCTGGTGCGATTCCCGTTCCTGGGATCCCAGGCGTTGCCCGCTGGAGGGGGTCCTGGGATTCCTACAGGAGCTCTTCGACAAGGGGAGGGCTGTCGCTACCTTGGCGGTGTTCGCGGCAGCCATTACTTCGGGTCACGACGGATTCGGGGGGTTCACAGCCCGTTCTCATCCGTTGGTTAAACGTTTTCTGCGGGGGGCGCGCAGGAGGAGGCCCTCGCTCCAGAGAACGCCTCCGGTTTGGGACCTCAGGGTGGTCCTTAGTAGAGCCCTGCACGGGCCTATTATCTGGGCCCGAGCCCGGCCCTGGCCCGAGGGGGTGGCGCCCCAGCCCGGCCCGGCCCGATATGGTTTCTCAATTTTCAGGCCCGAAACCCGCATCAAGCCCGCCTTTTTTTTTTTTTTGTAACCTCCCATAACAATGTTTTAGCGTAGTATATAGTGCCGCGCACTGATATGAACGCAGACTTAGCTAGAGGGCGGAGTTATACATGGTAGTGATGTGTTGCAATGAGTTCTGTGTGTGCGGAGTGGTGCAGAGTGAACGGCCGCATCTGTATGATGTCCAGATGCTGCAACACACCTGTAAGTAACGCTATGTGCCGTCAATGACAACACTACACAGAACAACAAACACTACAGCGTGATAGAACGCTATATTCAGTGGGTGCGTTCGTAAATGTATTCTGCCGCTCTGAAAATGAAGAGCCCGAGCCCGGCCCGTGTCCGAGGTCATTATGCGGTCATCGGCCCGAAGCCCGGCCCTCGGGCTGTCGGGCCGTCGGGGCCCTCGGGCCAAGGGCTCAAGTGCAGGGCTCTAGTCCTTAGGGGGCTGTCGGGTCCGCCTTTTGAACCGGCGGCGGAGGCGAGTCCCGAGTGTATCGCTTTTAAGACGGCCCTCTTGCTGGCGTTGGCGTCTGCTAAGAGGGCGGACAATTTGTGTGCGCTCTCCGTCCATGCGTCTTGCCTGTCCTTTGGAGAGGACGACGGCATGGTGGAATTGTGGCCCAATCCGGCTTTTCTCCCCAAGGTCATCACGTCGGCCTTTAGGTCGAGAGTCATCAGGATTAGGGCTTTCCATCCGACGCCGCATGCCTCCCCCGAGGAGGAGCGGCAGCACCTTCTGTGTCCTGTCAGAATGCTGAGGCATTACCTGGCCATGACGTCGTCATTCAGGTCGGGTGGTCAGCTGTTTGTGTGTCTGGGCCCCAAGAACAGGGGCGCCCCGCTGTCAGCTCAGCGGCTGGCGCATTCGGTCGCCACGGCTGTGCGGCGGGCGTATCAGACGCAGGGTCTGGCCCCCCCGGTGGGTTTCAGGTCGCATTCCACGCGTGGGATGGCGGCCTCTACGGCCCTTCTCAGGGGGGCGTCGGTCGAGGACGTCTGCCGTGCGGCTTCTTGGGCGTCGTCCTCCTCTTTCGTCCGGTCTTATCTTTCGGATGTGTCGGACCGGTCGGTGGCCCATTCCGTGCTGAGTGCAGCGGACTGAGTTAGACCGTTGGGTCCCTCCCCTGAGGGGGCCTTCGGGCTATTTCCGCCCTGGTGCAGGAGCTCTTGGGAGAGGCATCCTACAGGTGCGGTACATTTTGTGTGTTTGGTCGGTCTGGTAGTCCATGTCAGGAGCTCTTGGGTGAGGCGTCCTGTGACTACGGATGGCCTACGGTTTGTGTTACGTGGGGGTATCCTTGGTAGGAGTGGCCCCGTAACACGCTTGTTTCTTCTGCCCTGAGTCCTCTCACTTTGTGAGGGTCTTGCTCGGGCGGAGCTCCAATCACCCTTCGCTGGCCTGCTGGGAGTACATTTTCCTACGGCCTCCGCGTTGTGTCCCACTAGCGAAGTCCTAAGGGACGTAGCACCATGACGTAGAATTAATAGTTACTTAATGTAACTTAAGTTCTACGAATAGGTGCGTAGTCCCTTAGCTACGAGCCCATCAGGCCAGCCCGGCTTGGCAGAGTTCAAGAGGGGGTGCGGCCTTGTGCAGGGGCATTTATAGAGGAAGGTGGCTGGTGATTGGAGCAAATTATTTTGATCTCTCTGGCGTGTGACCTGGGGGTCACGAGTGATATCCCACTAGCGAAGTCCTAAGGGACTACGCACCTATTCGTAGAACTTAAGTTACATTAAGTAACTATTAATTATATATTTTGTTAGCAGTGTGTTGCTTTTGTACCATTTCATCAGTGATTGTTGCACAGCTTAAGTAGCGCTAATGCTATTGTTAGCATCAGATCGCAAATACAACTAGATGGCTCCGTGGGATGAGAGCGTAGGGGAAATGAGAAGCCTGTGAGCGAGTTGGGAGGCGGTGCTAAACATTCAAACCTTGCAGAAACAGGTATAGCTCCTTTAAATGAGAAAATAAAACTCATTTGGAAAAAAAAAAAAAAAAAAGCACTGACCACATCAATGATCTGCAGTAGCGTGAGGCCCAGCTCCACCACGATGGGGGCCGAGTCGTTCTGAACCGGCCTCTCCAGACGGGTGTAGTTCTCCATCAGGTCCCGGTACAGTCTCCTCTGGTGCACTCCACACAAGCATCCTGGGAAACACAAGCAGGTCATTGTTAGTCAAATATGAACCATCGAACTTTACTTTCCAGGCCCTGTCCAACTCTTCTCTAAGCCTTTTTTTCTAGTCCTTGGAAATGCTATGCCAACCACAATGGCTTTCTTCTGCTCTGTTCACCACCTCTGTTATCAGAAGATTGATGATGTTGTTTTAGAAAAGACACAGTGAGTCACAAAATTATTTAGATGTAATTTATTTACAATGACGGACAGAGTTCTGGCACTGGTCTATGCAACAATCCAGACAGAAAAGATAGTTCAGAAAGCTTCTTAGCCAAAAGTGGGAATGAATAACCTCCAAAAACAAAGGCGACGTGACAGATGACAAAAGACTTGATAGTGGAAGGACAGTGAGAATGTAGGAAGGCAAGCATGGATCTACAGTATAATAATAACTGGATAGGGTATTATAGCTTATAGCTGAAACACCCCTGGGCTTGGGGGCTTTCTGCAGTACTGCAGACTAAATAAGACAAAATTCACGTAGGCTGCCCAGAAATGTTCCACATAGAACTCAATGTAAACTAAAACAGCTCTATCTCAGCTGACAGAGAACCTACGGCTTTCGTTAAGGTCGGATTGTAGAGTCCCCTGTCATCCAGAATTCTTTTTTATGTTCAATTTATTGGTTTTTGATAAATCGACACGTTAGTGCCACAAACTCTGCTTGTTTTACTCCCGCTCTAGCTCCGCACTGATCAGCAGCGTCTGATTGGTCAGAACGCTGCCGCGCCCCTCTGTGCACGTGCACGTGCCAGACACACGTGCTAAAGACTGTTGTATTTTGCGCAAAGCATCATGGGAGGTCGTCTACTGCGCAGAACCGGGAGGACTAGACACATGCCCAAATATGGGCAAGTTACGCGAAGCTTTCAGTGCCCATGGTCACTTCATGCGCCACTGAGGACAAGCCATTGATTTTGATACGCCGCCAACACAAAGGCAACACAAAGCACTCAAACTCAGGATGTTGTATTTGGCTCAGTCATTCTCTACCACCTTTGGAAGTGTCTCCCATTCCACAGTGCGCACGTGCGTTTGTGTGAGTTTGTGTGTGTGTGTGTGTGTGTGTGTGCGTGCGTATACATGTGACACATGTGTCTCTGTAGAAATGAAGCCTGATCAAGTCACAATATGTCTCCCATAATGAGTGTGTCATTAACTCAGCGGACATTAACTGTTTAAATAAGATCACAGAGCTGCAGAGTGTGGAGTCATTAAAGCTCATCAAGAGTCTGCATACTCTCCAATATGCAACAATACGGCAATGAGAGGAAATACAGGGACAATGTCTCATTAAACTTGTGGATTTGGTTCAAAAGCAGCACATGGAGATGTTAAAGGAACAGTTTGTCATATTTTTATTTGAAATGGTTATAATTAGACTCTACCTACATCTGGTCAATGTGTTCTCAGAACATATACAAATTATATTTTGATCATTAATTGCACTAATATTGCTTTAGAAACGTAAGAAATGAGAACAAATGTGTAATGTTTTCTATGTAAAAACAAGATCGATGGAATAAAAGCAGTACAATGCCAACTCCTCTAAATGTTTATCACTAAAGACCAATACCGCATTTATGATCAAGGCAGCTCATTGGTCAAAACAAGATGCCATTTTGTGGTCATACAAATACATGGCATTGGTTTAAAATCACAAAACACATGAAAAAAACATGTGGTATTTTGTCTGTGTTTTTTAGGAACCACAATGCATCAGAAATGTACCAACACAAAATATTTATTTTGTTCGAGGTTGCTCCATCACAACAATGGCGAAAGCTGCAGCCTCTCATCCATCAAAGTCTCATTTCAGTCTGAACTGCAAAGGTCTCTGAGCTTTTCTCCCTGATGACCAGTCAACAATTTAGACCTGTCTCTACATTATTCCGGCGATCAGGCAGTGATGGGTGCGCCATGAGAGCTGCCACCACAGAAGAGGGGCCGGCTGACTAATTAGTTAATGAAGCAAATGTAAGCAAACACACTTCACACAGCCTTTATGCAACAGACTATTGGGGTCGTGTCACCTTGGATACACTTGTATAGTTTTAGCCATAACTCTGGTTGATAAAATAGCTCAAAATGGGAGACAGTGAGTGTGGAAGTAAAATGTGACAAAATTGGACCTCAATAAGTGCTGAAGGGACCATTATACCATTGTACTTGTGTTATGTGTCACCCTTTTCTTCCTGCTGGGTGGGAACAGACTTTAGATTCAGGCGGCTTTTCCCAGTCTGTTGACAACCTTAAACACTTCCCTTGCAGGAGAAATGCCACTTGGGAGTTAAGACATTGTTATGATGTAACTTATGATCTGGGATGTCATGGTGTGGACTTTTGCTTTGAGCTTTGATTCATTTTGTTATCTTTTTGAGTTCTACTTCTTTTTGAGAGTGGAACTTTTTGGAAGCTGATAGAACTTAAAGAACCATCAAAGCAAGGTTAGAATAAAGTTTAGAAAATAGAATCAAAAATATAACTTTTCTTTATACAGATTCATACACACTTTACAAACCGGACTTGATTCTACTAGAGAATGAACTAGACAATGAATATGTTGCATGAAGGATATTGATTTTATTCAGTAGATATGGTAGAATGATGTTTATTAATGTATTTTTTTCCACTTAGACCCCAGGATAGATTGAAAATGCAGGAGGGTAATTGAATTGACATAATAGAATTTCCTCAGGGTCAACTCTAGACCCTCGTGAGCCGATGACTTGAAGAGAATGTGTTTGAGAGGGTGGTGATTGGGAGAAAGGGGACAAACTGGATCATAGAGTGAAGATCAGTGTGAGGGTTCTTTTTACAGAACACATGGCTGGGTCGGAAAGGGCGTTTTCAGAAGTTTGAATGGGGCAGGTGAAGTCAATAATTCCCTTTGACTGACGTATCCAAAATCGATGCAAGAGCGAGACAAGAGATCTTCACGTTTAACATCTGCATTTAATTATCTTTACAATCAGATACAGAATGTTCAACAAAAGTGCTCCTATTCTAGGCCTGCTCTTCCCCTGTCCGTGCCCTGTCCTGTCTGACCTCGAAAAACACACACAGGGGCTCATGAGGGAGACTTCCGATGACGTCATCCTTATGCGTCCAAGGGGTGGAGTTTCCGGGTGTGCTGACGTCCCTTGTCCACTGGGAGGCGTCAGAATGCAATTGGTGAATCTCCCAGTCTGCCTCAAGATTCAGGTTCTGAACTCTTGTCCTCGTCAAAATGTTTATTATTTAAAGTTAATAATTCGCCCTGTTTAAACAGCATTTTATCTTTATGACTCATGTCTGATTATCCTGTGTCCTTGGGGTTTTTCCTGAGTGCACGGAGGTCTTTCTGGCTATGATGTTCAAATGGTCAAATATTAAAATATACAACAGTTCCCCTCTGTTGACCTATATTAAACCAATTTAGGTCACAATCTTTCAATATTCCTTCTGGGTGCCGAGACTGGGGAGCTCGTCCATCATCGCCTTGGTTCTTGGTTCTGGCTCGTTATCTGTGAAGAGTTAATACAGAAAGAATACACACACAACAACATTCGAAACATTCCTTCACAAAACTCTTTGATGACCACTGCTGTCATTCTGATTCTTCTTCAACCTCGTCTGTAATGTATGCACTAAAACTATTCACTATAGTTTAAACTATTCTAATCTATTTACCAATATGTTTGCATCTTTGCTTTTATTGAGCCATATTCTTAAACATATGTTTTTATCTAATAAATCTATCTATACTGTGGTTTGCTTTCATTATCAGTGGCTTTGGGCCATTTTGTGGGGCTTTGCTCATTTTTCCAAACACATTTTGTTGAACCAGGAAGTGCTGTCACTTCCTTCTCTCAGACCGTTTGGGATAAATGTACATCGTTAATCAAATTGGTATTATCCGTACAGGAGCTAATCTATTTTAGCAGGTTTTTTGGGGTCAGTTACTCTACCATGGTATTCGATTTTCTAATCCATATTGACAAGTCGACAGCTCTTAAAATTCTCAAAAAATACCTAAATATCTACTTTTGTGCTATACCCAAATACATTAAAATGCTTTTAAATGTTTTTGAATCTCTGTTGTTTCTAATCTATCTCATTAACTTTTGGCATTGTTAACATTCACCTATGTTTGAAACAAGCGAATTTGACAGTATCTAATAAACCTGTGCATAAACTGTAATGAACTTTATCTACCTTTGAAGTAAATACTTTTGGACATAATATGAAGGAAATGGTCCTTTTACCGTTTGATATTAGCCTTGGCTAAAAATAATCTCTATTTTTGAAAGCATCTATGGTTGATGCATTTATCTATTCCTATTTTTACTCTATTGTGACTCTAAAGCTCGGTTGCAGCTTGAGCAAAGGCATACTCCCAATTTTTGAGTTCTGATTGTAACAATTGCATTGGCAATAGACGATTTTTTATTGGCCGGTTCTTGTTCTGCAAATCACTATTCTATGTATTGTATTTCAGACAATTCCAAAAACAACACAGTCGTTCTCCAATATTAAAGACATACATCTAAATCAAGTTGCCTGAAAGGGATTTTAACTATTTTAAAACGTTCTCTACGATTATAAGGCTATGAAATTAATTATTTAATAAACAAAAGCACATTCATGGCTTCTGTCCACTGCTTATAACTGTTTAAAGAGTTGTCCCAAACTTAATATGTGTAAATACATCAGCTGTTTGTAATAAACAATAACATTTAACCTGTTCTCCAATGGAGCAGCTCAGAGGCTGCATCAAGAGCAATGTTATATTTGAGCTATTTTTAGATTTAAAATTGTGTTAAAGCCTGTCGTTCTATGTCTGCATTTTAATACTACTCTCTATAAACACATCTGCACTAGATCCTACAGATGTGGAAAACAGAAACATCTAAAATCTGACTCCATTTGATTCCTTTTTACTTTAGTTATTAGAACAATTTGACCTTATTGATACTTATTTCCACAA